GAACCTTCAGCCTTGAGACCACACGTGGCCTTCTAGGTCCTTGGTCTTTTGACTGAGTCCAAGTTTTACTAGACAAATGCTTTTACTAAGGGTATTTGTTCTGTGAAGTTTGGATTCAGCCAAAGGGCTCCACTTGAGGACCTAGAGGACCACGTGTGGCCTACCCCTGGCCCAGGACAAAGACCATAGGCAGCTCTCAAATCTTGGAAGTGCTGCTTCTAGCCATGGAACCAGGGGTTACTCAGAATCTCAGAACCAGACAGGACTTCAGTAACTATCAGTTCAACCTGCATGGGAACTGACCGCTAATGAAAGGGAGATCACAGCCTCCTAAAGCGATCCCTTTCCACCTGGGGTCAGATTCAGAACTACAAGCAGCCTCAGAGACCATTAAACCGTCGCCCACGGTCACCAGCCAGCCTTCCTGAGTCCCAAGTTCCTACTCTACGCACTAGGCCGCGATGCCTCGCCATTGTTGGACAGCTCCCACTGTTGGGAAGGTTCTTCCTCTTATTGAGCCAGATTCTGCCTCTCCGATCCCCGCTCCTGGTTCTGCCCTCTGGGGCCAAGCCGGACGAGGCTAATCCTCCTTCTACATGTCGCTATCGTGGAGGTCTCTCTACTCCCTCGGAGCCTCAGTTTCCTCAACTGTGAAACAGGGTGCTGGGAAGAAAACGCTGTAGGAGCTATCCTTCTGGGGTGATACCCTGCAAATTCTTCCCTATAACCACTCTGTTACACATGGTTTCCCAGCTTTCTTTCAAAGAGCCACAACCCTGTAAGAACCCTAAGCAGAAAGGAAAACACTTCCCATCATGAATGGCTAAAGGAAACAAACTTCACCATATCAATTCTGAAAATAATTTCACCTGATTCACTGGTTGCCAGTCAAAGCCCCCATAAGGCTTTGAGCCTCAATCACATTTTTTGTGAAGAAGAATACCACAGGGATGGGGTCAGGGCAGCTCCTCCAGGTACCCTCATGTGAACCATCAGGGAACCACTTTCATCACTAGCTGGACACTCAAGGTTGAGACTCAAAGATGAAACTGAATGAATCCAAGGATTGGCTACATGGCGCCGAATTATTTCAGGCCCTGACCTCCTGCCGGGCCCCAATGTGTCCTCCACCCTCCTTGCTTATCTTCTTACACATGGGAGCTGGGGTGTCATTTCCACATTCGGTGGCCAAAATGGCACCAAGCAGGAAGCCAGAATCCAGAGGTCACAAGGACGTGGATATCTGCACCAAATTCACCAGCACAAGCTACACAATCCAGGGCAGCCACACCTGGATCCAATCACAGGCTCACAGAAACTCATGTAATTCTAAGAGCTGAGAGGGAGCTCTGAACAGAGAAGGGGCAGAGCAGGGAGGAAGCTAAGAACACAGACAGGCAGAGTGGGGAGGGAGCTTGGAACATCAGCATGTGAAGAGACCTTGGAACACAGAACATCGGAGGGTGAAGGGACCTCAGAACATAGAACATCAGAGTGGAGAGGGAACATAGAAACCATGCATTTATCAGGAACTCCTCCTCGCCCACAGGCACGTCCTACAGGCTCTGTGGAAGACATTATGGAGACAAAGTGAAAAGGAAAGTCCCTGCCCTTGGGGACTTGGGAGTCCTGGGGTCCCTGAGGGATTCTGAGTGGGGCAGGGGATGAGGAAGGCGAGCGTTCCAGGTGTGGAGGACAGCAGAAAAATAAGAGGTAGGATGTTGCGCACAGGGAATAGCGAGTAGATGAGCTAGTCTAGGAGGCAGCTAGGATAGAGCGCCAGCCCTGGAGTCAGGAAGACCTGAGCTCAAATGTGACCTCTGACACTTACTAGCTGTGTGACCCTGGGCAAGTCACTTCACCCTGTTTGCCTTAATCCACTGAAGAAGGAAATGGCAAACCACTCCAGAATCTTGCCAAGAAAACTCCACAGAGAGCACTGATGTACTATGGTCCACTGGGTCACAGAGAGTAGTGGGACACAATTCAACAACACAAGCTAGTCTGACCCCTTCACTCTGGAGTGCAGGCAGCTGCAATCTGGAACAACAGATGTAATGTACTCAACTTGGAGTTAGGAGAGCCGGGTTCAAAACCCATCCCAGACATTTACTTGCTATGTGTCCTGGGACAAGTCATTTAAATTTCTCTGACTTGGTTTTCTCATCTGTAAAGGGAGAATAACATTTGAAGCAGTTACTTCCCCAGGCTGTTATGAGGGAATTACTGTGCAAACCGCAAATGGCTATATAAAGGTCACCTCTTATGATGGGGAAACTGAGGCTGAGAGGAAGTGAGTGACCTAAGGACGCACAACAGGTCATTAGCACGCTCAGGCTCAGCGGCCTGCTCTCCTGTCTCTCAGGCCCAGCGGTGCTTTCCTCTCTAAACACCCAGTTATTCTGTAAACATGCTGTACATCCCTGATTACTGACAGGCTGTCTCCCCCATTAGCATGTATGGGTTCTGAGGGCAACGACTATCGTTGCCTTTCTCTGTAACTTCAGGGCTTGGTAAAAGGTTGGCAAACAGTAAGCATTTAATAAATGCTTCCTGATTGACCCAGTGGTCTCAGGTTCCGTGCTCTATTATTTCAACAACTTCCCCAACCCAAGACTCTGGCTTTCAGTTTTCCCTCCTCCACGTCTCAGTTCCTATGTTTGCTATACAAAGGTATTTGCTGCCCTTCATCTGACTGGAATCATGACATCTCAGCATGGGAAGGAACTCAGACCATCTGCGTCCACTGTTACATGAGGCAGCAATCCCAGCCGGCCAAGGGATCAGGCAGCTTCTGCCTCAGGACTCCCGGGAATGGAGTACTCACTGCCTGAGGACAACTCTCTCTCATTCGGAAGCTATTTTTTCTCATAACGAGCCCAGATTTACCTCTTGGAAAGTGCTATCCACTGCTGCTCTCTGCCCTCTGCCCCATGACAGCTCCTCAGACATCTGGAGCCAGCTTCCATGTCCTCCTCCCCCTGAACCTTTTTTTCTGGAAGTTAAACATCTCCAGTTCCTTCAATTGAAAGTCAATGACATGGGCCACAGTCCCTCACCAACCCGGTCACCTTCAACTACAGACGCCCTAGCTCATCAGGGTCTCTCCTAAAATGCAGTATCTAGAACTGACATCTGAATTCACGTATGCCTAGATCTACGCAGAAGATGGCAGGACAATGGCCTCCTTCAATGTAGATGCTAGGCTTTGTCCTTTCAGCAGTACCCAGAAGGTGTGGGCCTCAGGCTGCTACCTCCTGGACTGCAGTGATGCCAGGTCCTGCCCCTAAGGGTACCAAGGGGTGGGGGAGGGGAGGGAGGTTGCCTTGGGTTAGTTCCCAGGCAGGATGTGATGGCCAAGATTGCACAATCACCATCAGACCAAGCATGACCCAATACATCCTGTCACACACTGATACCTGAAGGTGAGGCCTTTTCTCATCCTCCATCTGGTATCCTTTTTCCAAAAATGGCCTTGTATCTCTTGCATACTGCACCCCTAGAACGCAAGCTCCCAAGAAGGACTGTTTATTCCCCTGGCCTAAGATCACATGGGATTTTTAGACCTTCACATCCACCAAAGTTTCCTGTGGGAAAGGAAGCTGCTTCTTCTAGCCTGTCCTGTCACTGCCCACACTGCCTGAAAGAAGCCTTTCTTCCCGAGGCTTCTTTGGCTATAGCAGCGCCCACCACCCTCATGGCTAGAACAGCAGCCTATCTGTGGAGCTGGGCTGCTGGCTCACACCTTCCTCTTGTCGGCTTCAAGAGCCCACAGGAAACACCTCCCTGGACCTCTCCAGAAGAATTCTGGACCCTCTTAAAGGCAGGATGCTTCCTGAGGAGTCAGTCCTTCAGGCCACATCCTACACTTCTGTCCACTCTAGTCTAAACGATTCCTAAGACTTCAGCTGCTATAAAACATTTCAGGCCTTGACCTCCGCACCCCTCACGCTAAGGCAGCCCAGAGACACCCTGAAGGTAATTCTAAAGAGGGCTGAGCCCTCACCCCCAACTGCTCCAACAGCTGGGGCTTATCTCAGGGCTCACAGAAAGCTAAAGGATTCTGGGTCACTGGCACTCAGTCTCCCCCTCAAACAGATCACTGATAATCCTTCTGCTGAGGGTAGGGCAACCTACACAGACTACATTTACTTAGCAGGCTATGAAAGGAAAGGATCTTTGTGCTAATGAACAAAGCCCAGCATAGGGCCCAGTGGAGGTGAGGGAGCCACCACAGTACATTGGAGGAGGAAGGAAGCTGAGGGCAGGGGAGCAGACAATGATAACAAGAGGGAGGGGCTGGGATGGACCTGGGCAGCCAGAGGTACACAGGAGGGGGAGGAGGAAGAAAGGAAGGAAGGAAGAACACATTACGTTAGTTCTCCCCTCCCTCCACCTAACCCTGCAGTTACCACTGCTGATTTCCTGAAATGAGAAGCTGTGTGTGGTGCTCTACCATTCCCAGGCCACCAGGGCCCCCCAGAGGCAGCTGGGAGCTCACAAGTTCACTTCAAAGGCACTGTGATGGAGGAAGGCACCAGCCACCTCCAGGAAGGCCAGGAGGTAACAAACGCTCAAGCAGGAAGGAGCCAGAGGAGGCTGACACAGAGCTAGTGGAGTTTAAAATGCCAGCAATGTCTTCTGACAGCCCCGGGAAACGGCACAATGGCTGAGGTGGAGAAGGTGGAGAGGAGGCATCCAGTGCACAGAATGTGTGCGAGGAGAGCCAGGGACACTGGCCCGCCAGATTTCCCATTCCCTCCCAGTATCATTAACATCAACAGCAGCAGTAGTCACTGTCATTCAGAGAACACTGTAAGGTTGGCAATGGACTTTAAGCTTCGGGAGTGGAATCTTCCACTCCTTCCTCTAGAATGCTGCCAACCAGCTGCCTTGGAGCAGGGACCAGGTCAAACCCCACCCCCTCAGCACCTGGCCTCAGATATCTGGTTCGGTATAGGGCAGCTCAGACTGGGACTCAAAGGGACGGCAGGCCTCACCAATCTGTTTCTCCAGGGCGGCTGCCTCGTTGGGAGTAGCTCGGGGCAGGATCCCAGGATCAGTGAAACTTGTCTGCAGCAGGCAGCTCATGACGAAGAAGAAGAGCATGCTCCCGATGACGGGGATGGCCAGGGTCAGGTGGCGGGCCAGAAAAGGGCAGCTACAACAAAGAGAGAGATTGGTCAGGTGGCCCCACCACCACCCAGAGAGCTAGAGACATCACCCTGACCTCAAAACGGGTTGGCCTTCTAGTGAGTGACTTCACAGCCCAAACCAAAAGGCTTAAAAAGGGTCGTCTAGAGACTCATTAACCTCTCAAGTGAAGGAGACCCTTCAGCACTGGAGTTTCCAAAGAAGCCCGGTCACCACCATTGTCTAGTTAGGCCCGAGGCCTGTCCTTCAGCCAAGGGTATCCCAGAAGAAGCACATGGGATTCAAAGCTAATCATATTGGCATAGAGAGCTAGGACTATTTAACAACCTCCTGCCCCCACTTCCTCCCTCCTCCATCCTTTATCCTGCTGCTAGAATAATCTTTCTTACACACAGATCTGGATATATGACACTTGTGCTATAAATTCTTCAGTGGCTCCCTATTGCCTATGGAATTGCCTATGCTAGATGGACTGCTGGGCCTAGAGTCAGAAAGACCCAAGTTCAAATCCCACCTCAGATACCTACTTAGCTGTATGACCCTGAACAAGTCACAGAACTCTCTCAGCCTCAGTTTCCTCATCTGTAAAATAGGAAGAGTAATAGCCTCTTCTTCCCAGGGTTGTTGTGAGGCTCAAAGAAGATAATGTGTAAAGTACTTTGCAAACCTTAAAGTGCTTTCAAATCAAACTCCTAGATCTGGCACTCAAGGCTCTCCAGGACCTGATACCACCCTATCTTTCCAGCCATGACTCGACTGCTTCCTTCCATGGATTCCTACCCTCCAGCCAAACCGGACAAGCCTCCGGGGAGTGGATGTGCCTCTGTGGCTTTGCTCACCCCAGTCCCTCTGCCTGAAACATCTTCCCTCCTCCTCAACCATTCACTTGCTACCCAACCCAAGGGTTGCCTCCTCCAGGAAGCTTTCACTGACTACAAGTCAGTGATGGCCCTTCTCCTTTGGCTTCGTACTGCACTGACTTCTATAATTTTCTAGTACACTGCAGAGATGTAATACTGTGCAGAGTGCTCTGTATCTGTGTCCTGACACAGTCCTTGTACAAGACTATTAGCTCCATGAGGAGAGGGGCTTTATCAAAGCTAAACTTTGCATTTCTTCCACAGTTGAGAAGGCTTTGCCCAAAGAAGGACATATATGTGCATGTGTCCCTCAGTAAAATGTTAAGTTCCTTTGTTGAGGGAGCTTTATTGAAGTGGTCTAGCCATTCTGGAATAAAGCCTCAAAGTCACTAAACTGTGCATATCTTTTGTCCCAGTAACACCGCTTCTGGGTTATACCCCAAGGAAATCAAAGAAAAAGGAAAAGGTCCCACATATCTAAACATATTTACAAGAGCTCTTTTTCGTGGTGGCAAAGAATTGAAAGCTGAGGGGATGTCCATCAAATTGGGAATGTCTGCATAAGTTGTGGTATCTGATTGTGATGGAATACTACTGTGCTATAAGAAATGACAAGCAGGATGCTTTCAGAAAAAGCTGGGAAGACAAACAAACTGATGCAAAGTGAAGTGAGCAGAACCAGGAAAACATTGTACACACTAACAGCAATATTATAACAGTAATCAACTGTAAATGACTTAGCTACTCTGATCAATATAATGATCTGCAACAATTCTGAAGGACTCATGATATCAAATGTTATTTACCCTCAAAGAGAGAACTGATCAACTCTGAGTACAGAGTAAAGTACATTGTATTTCACTTTATTTTTCTAGCTTTTCTTCACTGTTGTTTGCAACATGGCTAATATGGAAATATGTTTTGCATAACTTCATATAATATTTCTTGTCTTCTCAATGGGTGGAGGAGGAGGTGAAGGAAGGGAAAGAATTTGGGACTGAAAATAGAAACCTAAAAATAAATATGCTCCAAAGGGTGTGAGAGAATCAAAATAAACAAACAAATAGATAAATGTATCATCACAGTGGCAGGCAGCAGGCAGCTCACTCTCAGGGCATATCTCGTAAGGTACCTACAATCATGAAGGCATTGCTTGCCCTGAGGGCCTGGTTCCCAGAGACGTCACCTGAGCAGTTAGGCTCTGTTCTATGAGCTTCACTGGAACCTGTTTTCAACGGGAGAAGTGTAATCTCACAGCCCTTTGGCACTGGTGTCACTCGTAAGAAGCAGGGATGACTTGGGCCTTCTCCTCCTCCAGGGAGTCAATTAATATATAACCAGATATCTTGAGGGACCAATGAAGCTTCGAAGATTCTTCCCAGAATCATCTATTCATAGGACCACTGGCTTAAAGCTAGACGGGACCTCAGAGGTTACAAAATCTAAACAGCTCATTTTTACAAATGAGGGGACAGAGGCCTACAGAGGAAATGGCTTGGCCAAGATCACATGGTAAATGGCAGATTTAGGATTTGAACCCAGGTCCTCCAATTCCCAAATACAGTCATCCAGCCCTCCTTGTTTTACAGATGAGAAAACTGGGGCTCAGAGAAGAAAAGTATTTTGCCTAAGGTCAAACAGTTTGTTGGTGGCACAGGCAGGACTAAAACCTGGGTCCCCTAACTCCGAGTTATGTTCTCTTTCCCTGTGATACCACTGTCACTAGGAAATCACCCACTAAAGGGGTGTCATATGCTGTTGACAATGACTATATGCTCACAACTCCCTTCAATGATCACATGATAGCATGATTCTTTGAGTGTACCCTTGTTCTCACCATTGGTACAAATTACCAACATTCTTCTGCAACATCAACCACCCCTGCTGCCCCACCAAGTCTTGGCCCAATCCTCAAACACCCTGACCAAACTTCCACCTCTCACTCAGGAAGTAAAGAAAACAAAAACCTACCAGTTCATCCCCAAAGTTCTTGGTCTCATTCTTATCTGAGGCAAAGGAGGAATCAAATAATGATGCTCACCAGCCCAAGGGAATTCCCTGTCTAAATTGCCTGACCTAAATTCTATATTCCAGAGCCGTAGGACTCTGCCACACCCAGGCCCACTGCCGACAGCCTGTGCTCCAGAGATGTCTCAAAGAGATCTGAGAGACAGCTTGGTCTCCTTCCTCCCCCTCACCAGGGTCCAAATGGGGCAGGTGTTCCTACCTGAAGGCACTGCTAAACTAAGCTCCCAACCAGCTTCAAAAGGAGCTAAAAACGAAACAGGTTGGTCTCCCACTTCCCCTTCTGCAGCCACTGTAAGTGGGCATGCTGGGGGAAAAAAACAAAATGGTTATGAAATAGATTGGAGGATCCCACTTAGAGCAGACAGGGCTTCTGTCCCATTCTCTTCTCACACCAATCCCTGAACCCTTTATCTTGTCCTGGCCTAGCAGGAAACAGAAACAGGGTAAACATGGAAGGGAAACTAGTTCATGTTAGGGGGGTAAAGAAGAAAGTAACTTCTTTCTCACCTCTGCCCCACATGATACCTGGAGCTGACTAATAAATGGTGCTGGAGAACATAAAAGAGAGTAAAAGCGGAATGTTCTGCCCTGTGTAGAAACAATGATGGAGTGACTGAGAAGGTCTTCCTAGGTCATGGAAAAGATATAAAGGGAGGGCAGGAAAAAGGGAGAGGGATAGAAGGGCAGAAAAAGGCAGGGCTGGTCCACGTAGGAGGCTATATAGAAAAATGTTCCTTGAGTCATGTACTCTGACACTTTGGAATGATTTTACCCTTAATTTTCCTATCTGCAACATGGAAAGACTGTATTAATACCCAGGTCAGCCCTATGCCCACAAAAGAAATCTCCTGGGGACCCATAAGAGCAGCCACATAAAAGTGCTGCGGGTTCCTCCCCAAGAAGATAACAAGAACTTGTCATTACTAATAAATCAGGATGATCTAGAGAGATGCTTACGCGAGACAGGAGAATTAGGGCTGCAGAAATCAGAGAGCAAGTAAAAGAACACTGAGTAGGGAGACTTGGGGAAGATTGTGGAGACCAAGGGAAAGGATGATCATGGCTCAGGAGATTCCAGGAGAAGACATGAGGAGGCATGGCCAAAGAAGCCCAAGGGGACCGAAGTAAAAGGAGGAGGAATATGGGAAATCTGAGAGGGATGACAGGAGAGACACAGAGGTGACAAAGAAATGATGGAGAATGGGGAAAGAAAGAGGATGAATCCTGAGGGAAGGAAAGGATGGAGGATAATGGAGGTAGAAACAATTGAAGGGAAAAGTTTAATCAGAGGTTAGAGATAATTGAGAGAGCCAGAGAGATTAGAAAGGGCATGACTAAAGTAGGAGAGGGAAATGAGATAATTGAGAAGGCCAGAGGAGCCTGGGCTGGAAATGACCAAGAGAATTGGAGGAGATGGGGTTAAAAACCACAAACACTAAGAGATGGATGTCATTTCAGAGGGCATCTAAACTCCATATAGACCTATATAGAAATCCCATTTCCAGCCTCTCCAAGAAGTGCACATTGAGATGTCTCTTGAGGCCTCCAGTTAAGGGCAGAAACCCACCATCTCCTGAGGTGTCTCACTGCCTTACTAGACAGCACTAATCATTAGGAGATGGCTGAAGGGGAGGACAGCAGGAAGAGAATGGGAACAGAGATAGCCAAATGAACCAGAGGAGATTGGGGGAGGGGGAGGAGGAGGAAAGATGATTCAAAGGGGCCTGTTGGGGGGGGGGGGGCTGGACAGAAATGACCCAAGAGGGTCCAAACGAGATTGAACCAAGAAGAGATGATCCCAAGAGGTATAGAAGGAGAAGGGAAAAGAGAAAATGACTCAAGTGGACAGAAGGCACAGGGATGGGAGAAGATGGCCCAAGGGGGTTAGACAGGGTAGGGATGGAAGATGACCCAAAGGAGCCAAAAGATTTAGAGATAAAAGGAGATAAACCAAGGGAGCCAGAGGGAATAGAGATAGGGGGAGGTGACCTGAGCAGATCTGAGAAGACAGAAGTAAAACATGACCCAAGTCGGCCATAAGAAGTAGAAATGGGAGATGACCCAAAGGGGTCGGGGGCAGAGATGGAAGGAGATAAACCAAGGGGGGCTGTGAGCACAGGTACGGGTAGAGATGATGGGGGATGACAGATGGGGTAGGGATGGAAGGAGACAACCCAAGGGGGTAGGAATGGAAGGAGATGACCCAGGGGGGCAGAGGGGTAGGGATGGAAGGAGATGAGGGGGAGGTAGGGATGGAAAGAGATGACCCAGAGGGAGAAGAGGGGTAGGGATGGAAGG